GCTGCTGCCTGACACCCCCCACCACCACCACCCCCCAGAGCACCTCCTCGGGTCACTCCGGAGGCATACACAGGCACAGCCCCCCTGCCCAAACCTGCCTGCACCAGGTAGGATGGGCTGGGCACCCCACTGCGGCGGCTGGAGTTAATGAACCCCCCCCCTCTCCTGCTCGGCTGCTGTCCTCCCAGCTACTCACCCCACCAGGGAGGAGGAGTTTGAGTCCTTGACTAAGATACGGGTACTAGTTTCTGGTCACCAAGGAGCACGCGGCCCTGGCGGGCCCCTCGCTCGGGGCCCAGCGTGCACCTCCCTTCTCCTCTGCTCACGGCAGCAGACTCCAAGCTAAAGGGGTAAGAAATCCACCGGCTTCTGCTGACTGCGACTTGGACTGCCGGCCAGGCCTCAGGGACGGATGGGCAGGTGGAGAAGAGACTTAATTCTCTCAAAAAGAGGCTATTTAGGAAAATAAGCCAAGTGAGCGTTCAGTGACTATTTGGGACTATACACAGGTGGCGTTTGCCTTAGAGACATCACACACATGTTGATAGGTTTCCTGGCAAGAGCTCTTAACACAAGCCATACGTGGTTAGTAACTACTGGATCTGCTGGGTGGGCTTCCATGGAGCAGCCCACAAGATAAGCCAGGTCCTCCTAGGTCATGCCGGGGGTGACCAGGCCCTGGAGCATGATCATGAGGCGACGGGCAGGCTTGCTCAGCGTGTTGTGGGGTTCCACCTGGAGGAACTGGAAGAGCTTCTGCCGCACCTGGTTCATGACTGACCCCATGTGGTCTCGGGTGATGGGGTCGCTGTGGTCCAGGTGCATCACCGCTTCCTCCAAGTAACTGAAGGAGAGAGACCAGGGTTAGAACCAAACCCAACGTGCGATCCCAATCCGATTCAGTTCATTTTAGCACTGAAGATGCACAATTCTGCTCCCCCCCCCGCCCCAAACTCGGCACAGTACGTTCAGCCATCAGAAAATAAACGTTACTGAGTCCACCTATCCCTTCTTCAACACCTAAGGGCAGCCTATGTATTTTCCAGCCTGCGGTACGTGCAACACAGCCCTGAACCAAGCAGGCACAACAGCAAGCTGGAACTCCCTGCAGAGCTGGCGGTGGCACTTGGCTACAGGCCAGGCCTGGTCGCAGCTCCGTAGATATTTTCTTTGATGCCTTTTTAGCATAAGCAGAATTAGTCACTTATCAGACAGTAAAAATCCTCAGCAGTGAGGCCTATTTCGTGTGGGGATATATTTAAGGTCTTCTTCCAATATGTCTATGGAAGGGGTGGGGGAAGAGCAAGAGTTTTACCAACAAGCCGTTCCGAAGTTCAGACGAGCCATAAACTTTCAAACCTCAGCCTGAGAGCAAGGCAACGTGGTCACCGCAAACGGTTTCCACTAACAGACCAGCTTGAACTTGACAGCAGCAACTTTAACTCGGATTACCAGCTCGCCTGTGACTCAGAGCTCTTTTTCAGTTTTTCTAGCTTGCTTTACGCCTATTGTTAACTGGAGTTAAAAGCTCGATTTAAGTCATTTTTCCATGCAAGCCATGGTTAAAACCTGCAGGTACCTTAACAAGTTAGGTTTTTTAGGACAGATAACAGGGTTTTGACTCACTCAGTAAAAATGTTCATGGCAAGTATCAGCACAGTCACTATGTTGTCACATGAACTTTGCTTAGACCATCCAACAGACATTACTTCCAGTAGCTCCTGCTGCCACCTCCCACTGAGCCTGCCTGGCAGTCACGACAAGAAACTGCCGACACGGAGACCAGCGACGGGTTAAAAATTGAGAACAGAGCAAAGTTGCTCTGGACATTAAGCTGTCCAGGAAACATGGCACTATCCCTCCTTTTACCTCCACAGCGGAATTGTTCCTTGGTTAAAGGGAGATCGCTGCACAGCCCACATATACTACTTACAGACTACAGTCCAGGAGGTAACAGGACCTACAGCTGGGTACCCCTTCTACTACTACCTCTGGGCAGCAAAGCTTTCCGTGGCAATGCCTATATCGTTTTCCAAGTCACTACTGGTTGTTCACGTGCCAGTAACAGGCTACAGAAGCTCCAACCTTCGTCAAAGCACCACCTTCCACTTCCAGGCAGTGAATCTAAAGCCAGAGCCAGGAACAGGTCTGCACAGGTTCAGACCCGGTGCTCTGATCGTACTCACTTCAACTTCAGTTCCGTACGAGTACCCAAATCCGAGGAGAGCTGCTGAATGAGAGAGAGCAGCACCGGCTGGGACAGCGGGCATGGATGCTGTCCGAATACTTGCTGAGTATCCACAGTCTCACAGACATACAGGACCAGGTTGAGATC